GCGCCATGCCGCCGTGATCCCCGCCGGGGCCCGCGACCCAGCGAACCTCGGGACCTTGAAAACGAAGGGTGTGCCAACGCTCCCCACAGTAGTCCTCTACGGTGGTGACAGCTCCAGCCAGTTCCTCGAGGATAAAGAAACTCACCGATGCACATGAAGATGGTCGCTTTCCCAGCCACATATATGGGGGCCCACTGGGGAAGCGCGAGATCGCCGGGAAGCACACCCCAGAGGGAACGCACGCGTGAACGCCGTGTTGCTGCAGCGCCGCCGAAATGGCCCAAGGCGCCAGTGAAGCACCTCGTTTGTGCCCAGCGCTGCGAGGTTCACCCGGCCCGGGTTGAGGCAGGCAATGACTAGTTCGGAGGCGCGCCGACGACAGCTAGCTGGGGTGCCCTCTTCATGCTCCCGCGCAGCCGCCCGCGTAAGGCAAGACCACTGGGATCCCGCCCCGCCACCCCTGTCCCCGCGCGCCGCAACCGCGCTCCTACTCAAGAATATCCCGCGCCGCGGTGGGATCTGCAAGAGGGCCGGCTCAGGGGCTAATGTGGTGCTTTTCGTTCACGGTCATGGGGCCGTCCAGCAGAGCCGGACGCCGTGCGGCGGCTTCCCATTGGCGCAGGTAATAGCGGGCCCCGCCCAGCGCAGGTGCCGTGCATGCATCCCCGGCCCCCCCGCCAAAGTGGGCGCTGCGGCTGGGGGCCGACGGGGGCGGCGTGGATGGGCAACGAGGAAGCGACGCAAGAAGAACGAAGGTGAAGCGGCAGCGAAGGATATAGAGGGAGAGATACTTCATCTGTGCCCCCCCGCGAGAGCATCGCACTGGCGGGAGAAACTTACTTGTTTTTCCCACCTTTCATGCGAGCATGCGTGTGCATGTGCCCGGGGGCGTCCGCCACCGCATGGCGCCTGGAACAAGGCCACGGAATCTTGCGATGGGGGCTCCACGACATGCATCCGGCCAGGCAGCAGCACCTGCGTGGAACACGGAGGCCACGATTTTCGCGGCAGAAACGCATGGGGCCAGGGCGGTCCCATTTTGTTCACGTTGCGTCGCCCCAGCCCAGCCAGAATGCCGAGCGGCGTCCAGCCGTGGCGGGGGCGCGCTGGAGGTCCCGGAGGGGGGGGCAGCCCGCGGCGCTTCCACGGGGCGGGAACGCCCAGGGCCCCAGCGGTGCAGACCGTGAGACCGCGGGGCTTTTTTCCTTTTCTTTCTTGATATCTGCTTGTGTTTTCTCGACTTCTGTAACAGTAGCAGAAAGGGGTGGGTGCGTTTTCGCTTTCACCAAGCCCAGAAGTGGGGCCGGCCCCAGTTTTGCTCCACATGGTAGGGTAATCCTGAACGCTTTGTCTACCCTAGGATGTCCTCAGAAGATCGTTTCACTTTTAGTCGAGCGTGCCGATCGCCGAGAATGCGGTGACATTAACCTGGCCGGCCAGTCGAGCACGATCTCCCGTCAGGACCTTTCTCCCCCATCTCTCCCCCTTTTCGTTTCTCTCTCAGGCGCGGTGCCATACGCATTGCCCAAAACATTGTGCAACTATCCATCCCTACCCCGATCTCTTCTACCACCGTCCCCGCGTCGCCACTCTTCTCGGCCCTGGCAGGGGCCGCGCTTCGAGGGCAGGTGGCGCAGGGCGCTTGCGCCAGCACCGACCCAGGGACATGGAGAAGGAGGGAGGAAGAGGGACAGGGCCCTCCTCCTCCTCCTCCTCCTCCTCCTCCTCCTCCTCCTCCTCCTCCTCCTCCTCCCTGCTCTTCCTCCCTCCTCCATCCTCCTTTACCTCCTCTTCCTCCTCCTCTTTGTTGTTCTCCTCCTCCTCCTCCTCTTCCTCCCTGCTCCTGCTCCTTCCTCCCTCCTCCTACTGTTCCTCCTCCTCCTCCTCCTCCTCCTCCTTCCTCTTTCCTCTCCCTCTCCCTCCTCCACCTCCTTTTCCTCCTCCTCCTCCTTCTCCTCCTCCTCTTCTTCCCTCCGTCCCTCCGTTCCGCCCTCCTTCCCTCCTTCCCTCCTCCCGTCCCTCCCTTCCTCCTCCTCCCTTCTCCCTCCTCCTCCTCCCTCCTCCTCCTCCTCGCTCTTCCTCCTCTTCCTCCTCCTCCTTCTCCGTTCTTTCTCTTTTTTGATCGGCAAACCTCGAGTGCTATGCTTGTAGCGTTCGCCCCCTCCCTCCTCCTTCCTCCTCCTCCTCCTCCTCCTCTTCCTCCTGCCTTCTCCTCCTCCCCCCTCGTCCTTCTCCTCATCCTGCTCCTCCTTCCTCCTCCTCTTCCTCCTGCCTCCTCCTCCTCCTCCTCCTCCTCCACCTCCCTCGTCCCCTCCATCTCGCAGGAAATAGGAGAGGAACAGGAGGGTAGAGGAGGAAGGGGGAACGGAGTTGGTGATGGTGGTGTCTATTACGGTCGGGAACTTTAGACAGTGTGTCGCTCCGCCGGTTCTGGCCCACCACGCCTCGGCGCGGCACCCTATACACTTCCCGGTCCCCAGGCGTCACAGTCCCGAGTTTTTTCCTCAGCCTCCCGCCCAGAACACGATATCCGCTCGCAAGGCATATCGTGTCGCTGGGGCCGCCGCCGCGACACGCCATGCAAAAGTTCCCGACCGTGAGATAGTTGCTTTGTTCAGACATCTTGACATACAGTCAGCGCGCCTAGTAATGACGCGCGCCTTTATCCAGGGTACCCTGGTGTCCTTGCATCTGCGGCCCGTCCTTTGCCGCTTTCATGGGTCGCCCGCCGCACGAAAACTCCCTACTTCGGCTTCCAAGGGTCTTGCGTCCTTACCACCCGTCCTCAATACACGTTTTGGCTGTATCACAGGCGCATCATCTCGCCTCGCGAGTAGTGCGACCAATCGGTGAAGAAATTCCCGGGGGGTCGCAGCGCCCCCCTCGGTAAGTGGACGATGGACACATCGATTCGCAGCTCGCCGTCGTCGTCGTCGTCGCCGTCGAGGCAGCCACCGGCCCAGACTAAGCAACTTACCGCCCGTCCTTAATCCACGTTTGGCTGTATCGGGGCCCGCACGTGCCAGCAGCCGCGAGCGGCGGGGGGCGCTGCGCGCGTGCGGCGGCCGACGCTTTTTGGTGCTGCGCGCGCGTGCAGCTCTGCCCGGGGACCCACGCCGCTGTGCCGCCTCGGCGGCCCGCGCGCCGAGGCGGCGCTCTTGCCAGTGGGCCTCCGCGCCGCGCCTCGGGGCGTGTGCCACGGGATCGGGGGTTGCTGGCTCGTCTGGTCGAACTGCGAGGTTCTGAGTTTTCGGGCATTTTCGTCGTCTCTTGGCGGTTTTCCGCCCTGCCCTCGGGATGCGTTCCAGCGGCTGCGCCTCGCCGAGAGCGTTCCCGGGGTGCCCAGATCGTCCCGAACCGCCGCTGGAGACCCGAGTTAGGACCCCAAAACCAAATTCGGCGGCGAGCGAGAGGGGGAAGCGAGAAGGAGAGGGGCCTCTCAGAAGGCGGTGGGACTTCTCAGGAGTCCTCGCGCCTTCGGACTTCGGGGAAGGATTAGAAATCTTCTTAGAGGGCCGGGAGACTTCCGAGCCTTCTGAGAAGCCCCGCCCCTTCTCACTTCCCCCCTTGGGCTCGCCGCCGATTCATGGGAGCCTCAGAGGGTCCTTAAGTGTCTGGCGGTTTTGGCGATCTCGTCCAGATTTGGTCGACATCTCGACGACATCTCTAATTAGGCGAAATCTGGACGAGTGGGTGAAGAGAGGTCGTCGAGCTCTGGGCGAAATCTAGTCGAAATCGCGTTTAGGATAGGGCCGCGGAGGTTCGCAGAGGCTCCAATGAAGGCTCACCCAGTTGCTAGAATCGGCACGAACGAAATGGGTGCGGAAAGAGTGGGGACAAAGACCGACAGAAATTCAGGTCCACTTTGAACAGGAATCGCTGTCGGGGTCGCAGCGGCCGCTGTCCATTTGAGACAACAGGTCGCCTGCCCGACAGCGGCCGTTGTCGGTTTTGGTCAACATTTGCTGCTGGGCATGTGCTCATTCTTTCCATACCCATTTCGGGTGTGCCAATAGAGGTTGGTCCTGATTCGAGGTGCTCCCAGCTTTTCGAACCGTTCTGGGGCTTCTGGGGCCTTCTTGGGGCCTCCTGGGCCTCGTGGGGGGTCCCTTGGAATGCTGGGGCCAACTTGGGCTGGGGCCCCTTCTGGCAGCGAGCTCAAGGGGGCCCTGCGCGGGCGAGGGAGGTCAGGACTCTCCGCGCGTGTCCCCTCTACAGGGGGGATATTCAAAAACAGTCAAAAAATAGTGGGGGGACGATTTTTGGACTATTTTTGAATGTGTTGGGGGTATTTTTTGAATATTTTTGATTTTTTGCCCAAAATCCCCCTGTAGGGGGACACGCCCGACTTAATGCAAGGGGCCGAAAACATGTGCACCCTGCGGTAGGACGCGGGCCGCTCGTGCACGCGGGGCCGCGGGGAGCGTGCGGGTGGGTACGTCTTTGCTCGCTCAGCACAGACTTGTTCTGGCGGCGCAGTGTGCACCGTTTCCGCCGTGCTTCCTCGGTCGGTGACGCCGCCCAGCCCTCGGACAGGAGGCTGTCATTCAAGAGGATCAGCGGGTTGTGTATATCGCGCGCTGGGACGGCCAGAGTTGCCATCCTTGTTTGCCTATACCATCTCCTCGTGGCGTCTTTTGACGAGGTGGAGGTGTTAAGGGGGTTGAGCACACCGTTGGCGATACCAATCCAGTTCCTGGCAGCCGTCTTCGATATGCAGCTATGGTGATGATTCGGTGCTGACTCTCTTACGATAACCATTGTGAAGCAACGTGTTGTAAGGATGCGTTTCTAGTTGAACGTCGAAGGATGCATCAACATGACGAAGGAGGTGAGGAACCGCATCCAAAGAGCAATACAGCCTGGACTGGTCAATACGCACTGTGACTCTCATGAGGTCGCACTTATTTTCTGCCATCGTTCGTCTGGTTTTGTGCCATTCTGGCGATATCTCCCTTCCTTGTCTAGAGCTCATGCAACTGTGGTTTCTCTGTGCCCAGGCGGCGTGACGACAAGCAACCTCGGCAAGATCGGTCTTCACCTGGACGCGGGCACAAGGGGCTGATGTGCAAGGGATTACGCTGCACACGTCGGGGGTCATGATCAGTGGGCCGCCTGAAGCTCCCGTTGCGAGTTGGGTTCGGAAGCGATTGAGCTGTGATTCTGGCTTTGGTGGCCGTGGGAAGGGGCCGGTCAATATCTAATGGCCTTCCCGCTACCGTGCTTCGTGGATGCGAAGCCCATTGGATGTTCGTTGGGATCTCGTGGGAGGCCTCTCGGGGGCCTCTTGGATGCAGTTTGGACGCTTCTTTGTGGCCGTTTTGGGGCATCTTGGGTCCTCTTTTCGGCCTCTTGGGCCCTCTTGGGGGCCAAGAGGGCCTCTTGTGGCCTCCTGGGCTCTTGTTGGGGCCTCCGGGGGGCCTCTTGGGGCGGAAGGCTCGGATTTACTGTTCGTGTTCCCTCTCTTGGGCCCCTCTTGGTGCCGTCTTGGGGCACTCTTGGGCCGTTTTGGGGCGCCTCTTGGGTCGTCTTGGGGCCCTCTTGGGCGTTTTTGGGCCCTCTTGGAGGCCTCTTGGGCCGTTTTGGGGTGTTCTTGGGGGCCGCTTGGGCCGTCTTCGAGCGTGAGAAATACGGAACGGCGAGAACGCCCAAATCCTTCCATCTTTGGGGGCGTCTTGGAAGCCTCTTGGGCCGTCTTGGGGCGGAAGGCTCGGATTTACGGTTCGTGTTCCCTCGCTTGGGCCCCTCTTGGTGCCGTCTTGGGGCACTCTTAGGCCGTTTTGGGGCGCCTCTCGGGTCGTCTTGGGGCCCTCTTGGGCCGTTTTGGGGCCCTCTTGGAGGCCTCTTGGGCGCCTTGGGATGGTCTAGGGGGCCTTTTGGACCGTCTTCGAGCGTGGGAAATACGAAAAAGCGAGACCTCCTCCTTCAAACCTCATGAAAATCAATGATTATCGCCCCTTGGGGCCCTCTGGGGAGGCCTCTTGGAGGCCGCCATCTTGGGCGTCTCGGGCCGATCTTTTGACGACTCGGGGCCCCCTTGGGCCGTCTTTGGAGCCTCTTGGGGCCCTCTTGGCCCGTCTTGGGGCCCTCTTGGGCCCGAACAAGTCACGCGACAAGATGCGGGGCAGCCCAGGGGGCACGCAGGAAGCCCCGGGAGATTTGTGAATTCGGGGTCGGGGCCCCTTCAAGACTCCTCGGGAGTGAGGATCTAGGCTTGGAGGATTAGGCACATGAGCTGAGGACACGCCTACTCCGTGCCCAGAGGCAGCGTGGCGGACGTTCCGAATGAGAAAAAACACGCGGATTTCTTGGATCTGCGCCCTGCCCCCTTGGCGGCGCTTCCGGCGCCACCCATGGCGCGCTCTGCGCGCTAGGGAGGGGGGCCTAGCGCCGATGTAAGAGATCCGCTCTGACCTCCGAAAGTTTATGTTGACGTTTTTTTTGTTTTTGTTCTCCTCCTCCTTTGTAAAGGTCTTTACATATGTTACCATCCTTGGGGGGTCGCGGGGAAAGTGAGGGATGGAGCGGAGTGTGCCAGCAACGCGTTGTTCTGTATCTGCCCACGCTCCCCATGCGCAGCAGCTCTGGTTTCCACACGTGGCACTCGCATTCCATACTCTGCAGCGGAGGACTCGACGACCTCGGATGCGCCAGCAGGCACCGCGGCGAGGCCGTCGCCAGCAGGCACGGCACTCGCAGGACGGCCCAGGCGGAGGACTGCTTGCTTCCGCGTGCGAGCCAGGCGGGCTTCGGGGGCACGAGATCTCGCGAGCGGCGAACATCTCCGCATCCGCTCCCTCGCGGTCTGCGATCCCGCGGATGCGCGGTCGTACGGATACGTTCCGCCCGGGGCATCCGCGCCGTGCGAGGGAGCAGGCACATGAGCTAGCAGAGCAGGGAACGCCCTGAGAAGACCAGGTAAGCGAGGTGCAGAGCGGCGCTGGGCAGAGAGGGGCAGGAGGAGGTCGAGAGGGTGAGGAGATGGCGTTGTCGGAAGTGAGCGGCGCGGTGAGATGAGAGCAGTCTCCATCGCGGTCGTGGTAATTCAGGGGCGCATGGGGAAAGCGATGTGGAAAAGTCAGAACAGGCCGGATGGGTTGGCTTGCGACGCTACATACAGTTTCGAAATGCGCGCGAGGGCATATGTGCTTGTGTGTATGTGTATATATATGTATATGTGTGTGTGTGTGTGTGTGTGTGTGCGTGCGTGCGTGCGTGCGTGCGTGCGTGCGTGCGTGCGCGCGCGCGCGCGCGCGCGTGTGTGTGTGTGTGTGTGTGTGTGTGTGTGTGTGTGTGTGTGTGTGTGTGTGTGTGTGTGTGTGTCTGCGTGTGCGTGCGTGCGTGCGTGCGTGCGTGCGTGCGCGCGCGTGCGCGTGTGTGTGTGTGTGTGTGTGTGTGTGTGTGTGTGTCTGTGTGTGTGTGTGTGTGCGTGTGTGTGTGTGTGTGTGTGTGTGGTGTCCTATTTTTCGTTGCGCTTCACTGTCTAACACCACTCTGGTTCAGTGGCCGCACTTAGCCTTGGGCTGTCGCGCTTCAGCTTACTTTGAGTTGAGTATGATCCTCGTCTTCTGGCCGCTGGATATTTCGTTTGGACTGATAGCTCCTGTAACACACCCATCTCTTGCATTTTGCAGTGTACGTCGCTTGTACGCTGCGCTATCGACAAGGTTCGGTTGCAATTAGCACTTCCATGTGCTGTTCGCGCTTGAGGGCCCTCTGCGCCGCTGATTTAAACATTGTGTGTGTGTGTGAGAGTGTTGACCTGGCCGACCTACGTACCGCGATGGAGGGCAGCCTTAAGGCCATTGTTCGCCTCGTCCGTGTCCGCCCCCAGCGAGGACTCCCTCGACGACACCACACGCCAGGGGTCCTTCAGCCTCGAGGCCTGGGAAGAGCTCGACTCTGATGACCGAGTCCTGCGCGTCTTCTGCGACCAGCTGCCCCCTCTTGCTGCCAGACGCTCCCCTGGGCGACCCTGGCTCCCGCCGGGCCTGCCTTGATCTCGAGGACGCCGGGGCCGTCGCAGTCGGACCTCGTTCCCGTTCCCGCCCCCCCCGCCCTCGGGTTGCTCCCGCCCTGTCTTCCTCGCCCTCGTCCTTGCCTTCAGAGCGCGCAGGCGGCCGCGGCAGCTCGTCCTCCCGCGGCGCTCCCCGCCGTGCCCGCGAGGCGGGATCGGCCCGCCTGCCCCAGCGTGAGAGCCTGGGCTCCAGGTCCAGCGGCCCTGAGCCGCCTGCCGCCGCGGCGCCGCCCCAGGAGGGGCCTGGACTCGGCGCCGAGGCAGCCGCCCGCGGTGCACCCACTGGTGCCCCCTCCTGACCCCCCACTCCTCGATCACCGCCGACCCTGGCGCTCCCGTGCCTCTTCCCGCTGCACCTCCATGGCTCCCTGCACTTCCTGCTGCCCCCCAGTGGTGCCCGCGCGAATCTCGCGTCTTGCCGTGCCGTGCTCGGCCTCCAAGAGGCCCTCGCCGTGCTCGATACCACCGCTCTCCGTGTTACGCTGCAGGTGGCAGCTGCAGCATGCCCCAACCTCGGTTCTCCCACGGAGGACGCCCCCTTGAACATGGCCCGGCACAGCATCGTAGAGGCGTGGATCGCCTTGGGGTGCCCCCCCCGCTCAGTGCCCAACGCCTTCCCATATCCAGGGTGCGGAGCCCCCTTGCCTCGCCGGGCGCTCCCCCCATTGGCCGCCCAGATCCCTCTGTGGCACCACCTAGTCCCCACGACATGCATGAAGACCCCCCCGCAGGCTGGTTTACGTGATGGTCAGGGTTCGCGCGGCGCTGTTCGCCCGTTCGCATCACATGCGGTGACTCCTAATGCGTGACTTCCACGGGGCTCTCCCCCACGACACACTTCTCTCCCTCACTGACGCCCCCGCTGCGTCCGCGTGGATGCTCGTCTTTTTCGTGGACCGTCTCCTCGCGCTCGGGGGCGGCCTGCCTGCCCCCCTTCTGATCGAGGGCCGCCAGAGGGCAGGGCCCCCAGTCTAGCGCCAGCGGCGCTCCCACGACGACGTGGCAGGGCCGCCCGAGGTCCCGCTCCCCCTCTCGGCTCCCCCCCCCCCCCGCGCGTCCGAGGCCAGCGCCCCAGATGTGGGTGCGGCCGCTGCAGCGGCGCCGCCCCCCCCCCCCCCTGCCCCAGTCCCCCCCTGCCCCTGCTCCCCCCTGCTCCCCCGCCCCCCCTGCCCCCCGGCCCCCCCCCCCCCCCCGCCCTGCCCCCCCTGGCCCCCCCCCCCTGGCTCCCCCCCCCCGGCCCGTCAGTCCCATCCCTTCGAGCATTGCGCGGATACCCCCATCAAGCAGCGCACCCACCAGCAGCTGGTCCTGGCAGCTTGCGGCTTCATCCAATGTTGGCGCTTCGCGAATCTCCACCAGCCCATCCTTGAACAGCCACTCTAGTGAAGACTGCCCATTATCGGGATTTGTCAGTCAGCTTTCCAGCAACGATGCTCAGAGTAGTTGCTTTCATCAGGGAAGTGTGGAATCACACAGAGAAGCAAAGGACGGATGATGCCGTCAGACCACAAGAGGGAAAAATAGAGGAGGAATCGGAGGAGGGGTATGATGTGGGGGAGGGGGAGGAGGAAGTAGGGATGAAGAGGAGCATGAGGAGGATGTGGGGGAGCGGAAAGAGGGAGGATGGAGCAGGAGGAGGATGTTGAGGAGGTGAAGGATGGAGGGGGAGGGGGATCAATAGGCGAATGTTGATGATGATGATGATGATGATGATGATGATGATGATGATGATGATGATGATGATGATGCTGCTGATGCTGATGCTGATGCTGATGCTGATGCTGATGCTGATGATGTTGATGATGATGCTGATGATGATGATTATGATGATGGGGAGGAGGATGGGGAGGAGGAGGAGGAGGAGGAGGAGGAGGAGGAGGAGGAGGAGGAGGAGGAGAAGGAGAGGAGGGAGGACAATGGCGAGCTTGTCGGCCTTTTCGGCCGTTTTGGGGGCCTCCTGGCGGTCCCGAAGGCCCTCTTACGTACCTCGGGGAGCCTCTTGGGGCCTCTTGGAGGTCTCTTGGGGGCCTCTTGGCGGCCTCTTGGGCGCCTCTTGGGATCTCCTTGGCGCCTCTTGGGGCCCTCT